TTATTGTTTCTGGAGAGCCCTGCTCGCGTTCGGGCCCGTGCCATCTGAGTAGGGGCAGAGCAAAAGGTAGATCGAAGCTTTCCGCTTAGCGGGGTTCGGCTCAAGCAGGGTACCTCGTCCTTGCCGCGCCACTCCCGCACTCGTTTTGATCCGCCCAGTACAGGCTAGGCTTTGCCAGCCGCTCTCCCCGAGCGCGCGCCGTTCCTTCGGGCGGCCGCGCGGGCGCCATGGCCGTCCAAGCGTATCTGTGGGAGCACCGCGTCCATAACATTTCGTGGCGCACCGTCCTCAATAACCATTCTTCCACGCGCCCGAAGGTGCACGGAGGGCCCGTGCCAGCGCTTCGGTATTCTCTGACTGCATGAGGCACGCTTTCGCTGGGCTTCCAGCCTTTTGCGCTGTTTGAGCAAGGGAAAAAAAGCTATGATGGCGGTACATCGGTCTCGACCGCCGAAGGGCAGCCGTTGAGCAATATTTTGAAGCGGTTTAGTCAGTGGCGACAAGAGGGGCTTCAGCAGGCCTCCTACAAAAACATCTCCACTGGCATCGTCAGGAGAACAATCACCACTGTTGCCCATTGCTCGGCCCCTCCACCCCCCCCAACCTCCTTATCACCCGTAGGGTGGTCGTATAGGTATTGGGAATCCTGGGATTTGCGCCTGTGTATCAGTGTGTCCGTGGGCCCCTTCATCAATGTCCTTCTACCGTTTCGCACGGTGCGCCGCGACCTCCGTTGACGTTTGCCACAGCTTCCGCAGCTTTCTCCCTCCTACTTTTCCCCCGCTCTTTCCCAAAGAAGGTTCATAACGAGGCGGGGTAGTGGTGCCGCTAGGAGGATATGGTGGACGAGAAGGATGACGGGAACCGCGGCCGCGCGGATATACATTAAGGTGTCTGGGCCCAGATATACACTAAGGTACGACAGGCCTTGAACAACACACGCACGCACACACACACACATATATATTATATATGTATATCGGAGGTGAGGGGGTGAGATCGAAGTGGAACGGAGAGCCCCCCTACCGGGAAATCGTTTTCGGTTTCGTGTTCGTGCGTGCCGCGCGCGCGGGCGAGGCGAAGCTGCGTGGGCGGGCGAGAGGAAAGTCTCCTGTGGCTGAGGCGCGGCCGGACCAAATGTGTCTCTTCCGGGCGGCCGGTGGCGCGCGGTGTCCCGCCGGTGTCCCGCTGGTGTCCCGTCGGTGTCCCTGTGGCTGAGGCGCGGCCGGACCAAATGTGTCTCTTCTGGGCGGCCGGTGGCGCGCGGTGTCCCGCCGGTGTCCCGCTGGTGTCCCGTCGGTGTCCCTGTGGCTGAGGAGGGGCCGGACCAAATGTGTCTCTTCCGGGCGGCCGGTGGCGCGCGGTGTCCCGCTGGTGTCCTGCTGGTGTCCCGTCGGTGTCCCGTCGGTGTCCCGATGATGATGTGGATGATTATGATAATGATGGTGATGATGATGATGATGGTGATGATGGCGATGATGATGATGATGATGATGATGATGATGATGATGTTGTTGTTGATGATGATGATGATGATGCTGATGACGTCGATTGTGAGATCGATTGTGACATCGATAGTGAGACCGAATGTGAGATCGATTGTGATATCGATAGTGAGATCGATTGTGAGATCGATAATCAGATCGATTGTGAGATGATGATGGTGATGATGGTGATGATGGTAATGATGGTGATGATGGTGATGGTGATGATGATGATGACGACGATGATGATGTTGATGGCGTCGATTGTGAGATCGTTTGGGAGTTCGACTGTGAGATCGATAATCATATCGATTGTGCGATGCTGATGGTGATGATGGTGATGATGGCCATGATGGTGATGATGATTGTGATGATGATGACGACGTTGATGATGATGATGATGATGATGATGATGCTGATGCTGATGATGATGATGATGATGTTGATGGTGACGTCGATGATGATGATGATGATGATGATGATGGTGATGATGATGATGATGATGATGATGATGATGATGACGACGACGACGTCGATGGTGATATCGATTGTGAGATCGGCCACTCGTCGCCACGGCTGGATTCGCCTCGAACCGTGTCCTCCTTCGTTGTCTCCCTCCGCTCGTTCCTCTCCTCGCCTCCTCCCTCCCGTCCTCTCCCTCTTGGTTCCTCGGCTTCCTCCCGCTTTCTCTGCCTTGCCCCACCTCGGGGCGGCGACCTCCTGAGGGCGCTCGCGCCGTGCCGTGCCGGTCCCAGGGCTCTGTGCCGTGCTCTATCGTCATGCCGTGCTGTATGCTGGGCTCTGAGGCCCCAAACACAAAAAAACGGCCTCGTCGTCGTCGTCGTCGTCGTCTTCGTCGTCGTCGTCGTCGTCGAATGACCGAATGTGAGATGATTGTTCGAATTGCGAGTTCGATTGTGAGACCGAATGTGAGATCGATTGCGAGATCGATTGTGAGATCGGTAGTGAGATCGACTGTGAGATCGAAAATGAGATCGATTGTGAGATCGATAGTGAGACCGAATGTGAAAACGAATGTGAGATCGATAGTGAGATCGATTGTGAGATCGACAGTGAGATGGATAGTGAGACCGAATGTGAGACCGAATGTGAGATCGACTGTGAGATCGATTGTGATATCGATCGTGAGATTGACAGTGAAACCGAATGTGAGACCGAATGTGAGATCGATTGTGAGATCGATTGTGAGATCGACAGTGAGATCGATAGCGAGATCGATAGTGATATCGATCGTGAGATCGAATGTGAGATCGATTGTGAGATCGATAGCGAGATCGATTGAGTGAGACGTTGGTTCCCCCTCACCCCTCACCTCCTTATCACCCGCAGGGTGGTCGTATAGGTATTATCCATCCTTTTCACTTCTCCATCACACCTCCAGGCGCTGCAATAAACTAGCGGCGGTCGTTTGTGTTCCTGTGTTTCGGCAGCGGGGGGTTCTATTGTGTTAGCGGGGACTATGGGATAATCACGCAGATCATACCCTGACAGCAACATGGTTTTGGCAGCTCGAACGGCAAACACCATCGAAACATCTTGACTGCAAGGTACTGTTACATCCCCAGGGCGAAAGTTTTTTCCTCTTGGGCCCGGAGCGAAGGCTTGAAGTCTTAAGCAGACGCGTGTCAGAAACATGCCGTCGGATCCAATGAAGTTCGCGCGGGTCCAATTTTGGTTTTGGTTTGTGTTTCGGTGGATCCGATTTCCGTCCGCGCGGATCCGATTTCGGATGAGATGGATCCGTGTCCGGTCTTACTTTTCACGGCGGATCCGATTTCTACCCGGTTCTAAATTTATAGTATTGAATGTACACAGGGAACCGGAAGAAATCGGATCTGCGGACCCCACAAACCGCCCGTGTTAAGATTCTACGGGGGATGGGGGGTTCGGTAATCAACTTTCCACGATGGGCGCTGCGTCGTCTCGCGCACTCCCATCAACTCCCCGCGCGAGCGGGCCCCATTCAACATAAATACATACATCCCTCTAACCCCGGTTGCTGCAAACAGCTCGTCTGGTCGCCGTCCGTTCGGCGGCGCCGACGTTGTCTCGCGAACTCCTCATGGCCATTTTCACCTCGAGAGGAAAATCTTTCGTCCTGCGTGATTATGTGGCAAGTTCCACACCCTAGACCTGAATTTGGAAATATGGGAGGTAACTGAAGGGCTCCCCAGAATGTGTCATCAAGGTGCTCGTTCGACGGGTTCGACCGGCTGACAAGGGGAAAGCAGGCCCGCACGCGTGGAACTGTTGAACACGCGTGCGGCCGCACTTGATCTGGTCAGCGGCCGCAGGAGGACTAGACAGCGGTCGAGCAGCGCCAGGGCTCGCCAGAGCACAACGAGGCACAAGGAACAGGGAACCCGCGAGGCGGGGAAAGCCGCAGGGGCCCAAAGGGCGAGGAATCCACACCCAGGCCAAGCAAAGTCTTCGCGTGCGTGCCGAGGTGCAAGCTCATGAAATGCGAGGCGAGCATGAGCGCGAGGTCGCACAGGGAGCCGCGGGGAGGACCGGCACGGGGGAAGGAACGAACATCGACGTCCATCAACTCGAAGCAAGTCCAGGTGTGAGCGTCGCCCTTGGAACCGAACCCACTCAGGGAGGCTGAGGAGACCAGTGATCGCTGGAACCTTACATCGCGATTGGATGGTGAACGACGACCAAGTAAGCGGACCGCAGCGTCGCTGGGTGGTCCAGGACATGATGACCATCGACAGGCGGGGGGCCAGGAAGGAGCCGCCGACTTCTGCCGAAGAGCAGCATCCTGAGCCCAGCGCCAGGCCTGGCCGCGCAGGCAGCCCACAAGCTGCGGCTAGAGACTGGCCAGCCACGGTCGCCCTGGCAGCGCCAGCGAGGGGGCGGGGGAAGGGACGGGGAAGGGCGGGATGCAGGAGCAGGCAGGAGAGCCGGGCGAGGGCCCAGCCAAGCGCACCAGGGGGGCAGAAAGCCCGAACAGCGCGGAAACGAAAGCCAGGTGACCAGGGGGGCAAACAGCCTCAACAACGCCTCGTCCGCTCTCCTTGCTCCGCTCCAGGTCCTCGGGCGACGGGTGGTCCAGGATGATCCAGCCGGCAGCGTCGGGGGGGGGGGGGGCGAGCCTGGGGCGCGCGCGACCGCCTGGGCCTTCTGGGAAATCCAGCTCTACGACCAAACCGCCTCTGTGGGCCCAGGCCGCAAGCTCGCGCACGCCTGAGTCGGTGGCTCGCCCCAGCATCATCGCATTGCGCGCGAACGCCTGGTGGCGCCTGCTCCGGGCGATGCCCACGTTGAACTTGTGCCAGTCGCCCATCTGCTCGCAAGAGTGGAGGTGGCTGGCCTGGGTGCCTGCCGGGAAGACAATGTCTGCCCCTTGGCCCTGCGCAGTATCGAGCGTCATCGCCTAGATCTGTCGTTCGGCATAGAGAGTTCAGGGCACGCGTCGCGCAGCCCACCGAAGCTGCACATGAGGCCGCTCTCGCGGGAGGGGGTGTGCGCGAAGCAGGCCTAGCCTTGGGC